ACAAGGTCACATATGACAACCTGAAATAACAGGTTAATCATAATATATAGGCTTTACTAGGAATAAATTAGGAATACAAGTTACAAAAACTAGTCTTAGAAATTGTCAAATTTATCAGAATTCAGGATATTTCTTAAATGGATTTCTCACGCCTTTCCTTCATCCTATTCATGTTGTATTTACAAAGATTCTTTTTTTCAAAAAGTTTTATATCAAGGATCGTCTCAATACTTTTTTTTTTCTTTGATTTCAATATTTTGACAATTACACAAAGATAAATCAAAATTAGATTATTTTTTTTTAAAAAAAAAATCTAGTATGAAAAAGCCCTTATTGATGTTGTGTATGAGATTAATTCATATCATTATATTTTAACACCCATTGTCATATGATCATTTTACATTGTCATTTCTTTCTTGTTACGGAATGTATCTTATATTTGTATTTCAGATTAACTAATATAGAATATTTGAAGAGCTGGAGCGGAGAGTGCGGAGTGGAAGAAGACAAAGTCCGGCTCCCGCCGATAATGATTTCTTTTTGTAAATAACTATAACGTCAATTTGCATCAAAAAAAATAATGATATTAATAAATATAGAAATATCTCAATTTTTAACGAATAATAATGCGCATCAGCATAATCCAAAAATAAATTTCCATTGTTCTTCATTCTAATATCTTTTAAGCAATTCGATTTTTGATTATTTTTTTAAATATAAAGTTTGTTAAAAGGTTAAATCAAGCTTACGATATATAAAGATGTATATATCATCTATTTTCCTGGAGTACATTTGAGAAAAATATTACGTATCGGTATACGTAAAATATAAATATGGTATATGTATACGTATGCAAGTACAGGATCAGTCTTTTTTTTTTCAAGCCAATAGAATTTCCGTAGCATTAAATAGTTTAATAAATTAATCGTCATTGCAGCATTGTTTTTTTTTAACCAGCGGAAATTTTATAGGTGATCAAAGACTTTTAAGTAGAATAACACATGATCTTGATATCGTTATACAGTACAAAGCTTTAATCCGCGAAATCAAAACAAATCAATTTTTCCGAGATAAACTTGATTTGCACGACTATAACGATAAAAGATATTTAAGTTTTAAGAGAAAAAGTCTAAGATACGTACGTAAATTGTTAAATTCTAATAATAAATATTCTTTTCTAGAAACAAAACCGGTTTCTTGAACAAATTTCGAGACATAAATGTTCGATCATTTTTTTTAAAAATATTACGTGATTATAATAGATAATCTTGGCGTTGATGCATATGTTAGTGAGAAAAAAAATTGTGTTTGAAGAGTCTACAAAAGGTTGGTTTAAGATAGTAAAAAAAAAAAAACTTTTTTACAAAGTGATATAGCTTTTAATAATCAAACTACGATTCTATAGAAGTGATTACTAATTTTATTAAATAAACGTTATATAATTCAATATATTAAAATGTGATTCAGTTACAATGTACAGTACTTTGTGTGTTGACTATATAGTCGTTGAAATAGAATCTTTATGAATTCCAAAACAGTATACGTTGAACAGAATTCTCTACACTGTACCGACTAGTGATGCCGACATAACATCACTATGATAGGAAATAACTATATAGTAAATGTTATAGTTAAACCTATTGATTAAAATTAGGCTATTATTAGAACGTCAAAAAAATAATTTATGTCAAATAATATTCATTTAATAATTCAATAGTTGACTATTAGCAGCAGAAAATATGTATTTAAGGTGAATAAGTACGTCTATAGTAAAATTTTATATTTTGTAAATAAGCATATTCATAGTGTAAAGTAACCACACGGTATCGTTCTCTAAGGACTGATTAATCACGGGACTAGATGTTATCCGGCAGCTTACTAACTCGAGTTATTTGGCAGTGATTACGTCATCTGCCAAAATAACGAAGTTATTTGGCAGCTTACATAATCACTACCAAAAACTCGAGTCATTTGGCAAGCACAAGTAAACCACCGGATAACACCGTTATTGTATGCTACGCAGCCAATAACTTGTTTATCTGGCAGCGAATTTAATATGTATCATTTCTGGGCCCTTTCGGGCTCCAGAAGCTGACATATTAAATTTCACAGCCAGATAATGAAATTATTTTACAAATAAGTATACATTATTGGCTGCTTCGCCTATATATTATCGATTTTCAAATAACCAATGAATAAGACCATGTCACTATTAATTAAAAAAAAAAGCACTTATTTTCGAGTTTTATAGTATCTAATTTTGATGGTCAGCCTCGAACAAAAAAGTATTGGATGCTTGCATTGTTGGTGAAAAAAAAATGTTTTATAGAAAAAATCGACCTACAATTAAAGCGTTATTCTAAGTCACTCATCACTATTATCATGGCATCTTAAATTTAATATCAAAATATAGCAGATCTTACCTTTTTTTTTGTTTTAATAACGATAACACAGAATAGTATTGAGAAATTTTAAGCCATAATCTAAACCGACATCAAGAAAAGGTCATGGAAATATGGACTTTAAACCATCAAAAATTGTAGATGAGTTGAGAACGATAATAATTGGCTTTAAAAAAACTATGCAGTAAATGTTAAATGTTAATATTAATTACTTTAATAATTTTATACAGTTTCGTAGTTTATGATTTTATCAAAAGTATATAAAGTTTTGTCGATTTATATTTAACATGGCTAGTTATATTTTTATTGTTGAACATCAATGGTCTTGCAAAAGAAATCATGTATCTTTCAAGAAGTTGATGCATAAAGTCTATTATTATCATTCAGTCTACATTAATCTATAATTTATTTTACATAAGACGTCATATGCAGATAGTCGTAGACAGAATGATAATACCGTTATTAGGCGTGTAAGTGAACAATAACTGCGCTATTCGTCAAAGATCTGTTAAATGCTATTCGGCCGCTATCGCGGTCGAATGCATCTACAAATTTTTCCGAATAACAACGCTACGCGGATTATCCGTCAAAAATTTTCGACAAATAATTGCAATTATTTTCACTACACGCTTAATAACTACATATTATTGGCTGTTTCGAATCCAATAACTATATTTATACTTATTGTTAAAGTCTACAGCTAATATGTATATACCATAAATGAGTTTGTATTGCATGTGCCCCAAATCTCAAATTATGGCCAAACTACTGTTATACATGACTCGGGTCTATTGCATTCCGCCAATTTTAAAACCACTTTAATGCTTTAGACGCCTGAAATAGTACATGATTAAAGGTTTATATAATATACTTCGTGTTTATAATAGGAAATCTAGATTTAAAAAGAACCACATTTAACCAAAGAAGTTTCTGTGGTTTACAGCCAGATATAGCATGTAGTGACCTACTATCGAGACTATCGAGAAAGGTTATTTTATAAGGCCATTTATGGTAATATCTCAAAAACTTTATCATTACATAAAATCTTATTTTTTAAGCGTTTTTTAAGACTTTTGTCCAGGTTTGGCAAGCAATTATAATCTACGTAACACTATGACAATGAAGGTTTCAGAATTAAATTATTCAATGTCCGATTTCAGATAAAATAAGTGACGTATTTATTTCAAATATTTCAAAAGAAGCGACGTACAAAATCTATTTTTTTAAAGTATGTACGTACTTACCGATTAATGTTTTATAAAAGAAATACTAATTTTATCATCGGCTACGCCTATTTAATTTTCTGATTCGGGATTCTAAAAAAGAAAATAGGATCTTTTAACTTTCACTTATTTTTGAAAAAAGTTACCCTCTAATATAAGAAAAAGAACAACATAAAATTCACAGTAAATATCTGCAGTATATTCTGTGCATAGAAGATTTCTCTGTTTTCATCAAACATTTTAGGATTATGCATATTTTACGCACTAAATAGTGTAAGGCAATACAGCAATAAAATAAACACTTGTCTCTTAAAAGCCGGCGGCTTAGCACTTATACATACCTACATATATATATGTGGTGTCTAAATTACTTCTCTTAAATTATTTTGGCAATTAATTTGATTCCATAGTTAACGAAATTATTGGAGAAATTATTTGAATTCCTTATATAAAAATACACTAAAAAGTACAGTCAAACCTCACTAAATGCAATCTTTAACTTTGGTCCAAATATATATACCTAGACACATAAATGCAATTTTTTCTTATTGTTCTAAATGCAAGCTGTCAAATGTCTGATGCATTTAAGGAAGTTTAACTATATGATTATTTTGGGGTGCATATTAAAAAAAACTATATATGTGGCGATGGCGAAAATTTTGGCGAAACCACTCTTTTTTCAAAAATAATTTAGACATTCATGTACGTACGTACGTACGTACGTATCTCACGCGATATCACCACATCCGTGATCATCACAGTCAAACTGTTATATAATTTAATATAAAGACTTATATTTTAATATAATTATTATAATACAATATATATTTTAAAATATATGTTGAATATAAAGTTAATATATTAAATAAATAAATATATTATGTTTTTATATTTAATTATATATACTGTATATTTTTTATTATATATTTTAATATATGTTTAAGAAAAAACTAGAGTTGACTACTGTATATAAAATTACTTAATTAAAGAAACTCAATTGATGCATTTAAAAAAAGTGCAAAGAATTGACTGTATATTTTACACAATAGAAAATCAATCGAAAACAATGAAAGAAGTACGTATTTATACTGAACATTGTGAAAATCAACAGATGAAGTATTTTATTTAAATATATACACGATATTACAAAGCAGGAATTGGTTCATTTATGGCAATATCCAGTACGCCATAAAAATTTTGTAGACTTCCTAGTAGCAGTGTTGTCACGTTACTATGTTAGAAATGAGGCTTAAATATTTTAAAATAAAAGTTGTCATAATAAAGTTTTGAGTTATTAAAATTTCTTTTTTTGTGTAATATATTCAAACTTTTTTTGTCCATATATGTCCATTGACAACACTGCCTATTAGTATTATCATTGCTCACCACAACAAAGTATAAAGTATAGGCATTCTTTAATCAAGTCAAACGGGATCATCGAATCAAGTATTGAACGAACAATAGATGATCGGTCTCTATTTTCGGGTCGATATTGGCGATATGGAAATGCTTTTATTTGAATTAATGCTATTATAAACAATTCTATTGATATTAGAACTGCTTGAATTCCTTTTGAAATGTTGAGTGGTTGCCTATCATTAGCGTTTAAATATATATTAGATTTAAAAATTGTTTATTTAAAATTGTAAAATATTTAAAGTATATATGATATTTTACTAACCAGTATTCAGTTGAATTAATGAGACCAAAAAAAACGAGTATATTAATAAAGTGGCCTTGATATGTGATTACAAAAAGTGCCTATACGTAGTCCAAAAAAATTATAATGTAAATAATATGTATATATTTACTTATACTTATATGAAATTTTTTTATTACCGCAAAGACACAAATTCCTCTCCAGAATAATTGACTCTTTAATTCAATTAAATGAGTGACACCTCTGTTTATATCTATTAATTCGAGATATTTTGCGACTGGTTTTGCTAGCATGTTCTAAATTAATACAATTATATTAATTATAATTATGTTAATTATAATCATGTTAATTATAATCATTATAATCATGTTAATTATAATCATGTTAATTATAATCATGCTAATTATAATCATGTATGTTAATTATAATCATGTTAATTATAATTATGTTAATTATAATTATGTTAATTATAATTATGTTAATTATAATTTATTAACTAAATATTTTTATTTCTTCTTTTTAACTTACCAAACACAAGTTAGCCACTAATCCAGAAACAGTTTGAATAATCACCAAATAGAGTTGACCAAAATATATAGAAAAAATCTCTTCACAATATTTTCCTTTATACTGTAATGCGAATCCAATTCCAGTTGTAATATACAATACAAAAACATATTGTAAAATTCCAATTCTCAAATTATTGAGATAATTCTGTTTTAAATAAGGACATTTTATAAACCAAAATACTTTTATTGCATTGGTAGAATGGGTTTGACTCATATGAGTTGATAACTTTTCTAATTCAATTATTCGCTCTGCATCATTTGTACCTAGGGAGTTTAGCAAGAGATTGAAGAAACTGTGAACTGCAAACGCTTGGTATGCATCACGGATTGTCAAGAAGTATATTGAATATCGCAAGAATAAGTATGAAAGCCAGGTCATGATTGTATACATTGGCACCAAAAAAAGTAACCGAACTACATATCGTTGTTCGAGTTTCTAAAAAAAAAATATATATTTTTTAAATTAATAATAATACTGCAATAATAACAGTGATATAATATAATATAATAACAGTAGTATAATCACTACAAATCATAATAAGCACCAAGGTCATATGAAATGAATCGAATCAATTCACTTTGATCGTGCTGATTCAACTTAAGTCATGACCATATTTAGAAAAGAAAACAAAATAATAATTACAAGATTATTATAATATTTCCATTGCTGTTTCATTTGATAAAAAGCAATCATTGATGCCTCTATTGTGAATATAGCAGATACTGCCCATCCTACTACATGAACTATAAAAATAAAAGGATATTAGTATCCAAATAAATTTTGATAATGAAAAGAAAATTTAACCTACTTGATACTTTTCTATTCTCGTCTATAAGCACAAATGCATTCGGGTCGTCACCCTTGTCTATAGTTGGACAAACATTGGAGAAGAATAGACTCATTATGAAACAACTCAATAGTGTTTGTAAAAAAGAGGATTCTTTTAATACAGTTAAAGTTGTTAATTTTGTCAATCTCTAATTGACGTTTATTACTTATTACGTACAGTACGTATGGTTTTGTTGATAAATAATAAAGTTCGCACTTTCTAAGCGCGCAACTTTGCATAAAAGAATGTTAAAATTTTACACATACGTATGTATGTAAAAATAAAACTATAAGTTATCTCAGTGAATAATTCTGATAAAACTTTTCTTTTATAAACATCCATTTTACACGGAATTTAATTTCACAGTATCACGTTCAATATTCAAAACTAGAGTTCCAATCCGGATAGCGTTTATCCGTCTGTTTATCCGATCCGAATTATCCGGGTAATTCAGATACGGATAAACGGATGACGGATTTATCCGGCTTGGACCTCTATTCAAAACAAAGTAATTCTTGGTCTGTTCGATACTAAATTTAGCAACAAAAAAAAAAAAGATAGATTGGCAAGCAAGATAAGCTTAACTAATATTGATTGTTTGTTTTAAAAAGATCTTTCGTTTAAACGTTTTTCCGTGTAACATTCTTCAGATGAACGTATTACACCCTATATGAATTCAATACAACATAGCTGAACAATTGAGATCACATAAAAATGACAAAGCATTTTAGTGTTTCGCATATGTCAAATACAAGCAATGCATAATAATTTTGAATAATTAAACCAATTTTTTTGTTACACTGGACTTATAAACTAGAATGCGTAATTCAAATTACTATACTCGCGTCCAGCAATATTATTTTAAGAGATTTAAAATCATATTATAAAGTGTATGTTACACTAAGGTTAACTAATATGTATAAAAACAACAATACATTTTGAATATGTGCGCTGCAGAAAACCTTAATATATTATCAATTTTTGCATATCGACATTGACCCGCCAACCAAATATTTCTATTCTAGAACTACCCAAATTCCGGGTCAGCTGGGCCTACATTTAACATTTCAATTATAAACCTGGGACAATGGAGATGATAAGTTACCGAGTCATAATTACCAAGGTTGTACAGTACAGTACATACAAACTTCTAATACAGATTTAAGCATAAATATTGAATATTATGCAACCTACCGTTCTCCGTTACGTAGTAATGAAGATTCATATGCTTATATATTAATACATAGTAAGAATTATGACATACGTAGCAGGGATCCTTAATTTTCTCCCACCAGTTCGGTTGGTCGCGTGTAAATATTAGCGATGTAAACTTAATTAAATATTTTGGTTATTATAGAATCAAAAATTAAATTATATTTTTTTATTTAGAACTACGGGACAAATAAGAGCTTCCATTTCTGCAGAACGTCTACATCTCCAATATTTTGAACAATAATTACAAGTTACATTACAGTCCCTAGTTTACTTATCCCAAATTTTTTCTCTTGGACGGCCTGCATTTTTTCGGTTGTGTTTTATTTATTATTTTTTTTCTGAAGACTTATCTGTATGAGATAGTTTGGTTTAACATGTTTAAAGATAAATTTATAGAAGTCGATTCACCAATCATATTAATAAAACAAGTTCGAAAGAGATTTCAGTATAATAAAAATAAAATTCACAGTTTAAAATTGATATATTACTGGTAAAATTATTATTAAAATTACTGTAATAAATTTTTGCTTTTATAATTATAAAATTAGTTATGATATATTACAATTTTTGTAATTACTAAACAATAATATTTTTGCAGTTGTTAGCAAATACCGTCACTGATTGGACTACGCCAGTATATCATAAAATTAAAAAAATATATCTTAAATAAAACTGCCTTTCGTGCCCTAACAAAAAAAACTCCTTTCAAATTTTACATAATATATGTCCTGCTAAACCTTTATAATGCTCTTACTTTAACGTGCGTGCCGTTGTATGATCGAATAGAAGTTTCAAAATCTGATGAAATATGTTTCGTCCAATCAAAAACAGGATCAATAGAACTGGTGGGAGAAATTTAGTAAACTCGGCGTACATACTTACGTGACTTATGTACTGTACGTGATTTTACGCTAACACTTAAAGATTTTATAGTTATTAATGCGACAACCATTTAAAGCAAAATTATTTTATCAATCTCAATAATTATAAGCATTACATTACAAAAGAGAATTTTATACGTGGATTATTGAATACTTGACAGCAGTGTTGCACCATGAATCTAGCATAAACTAACTCATAGATATTATAGAGTCAGGTTTAAAATATTTGTCCTTTATTTCAAATTACGTGCATAGGCATATAGAAAGTAATGTGCAAGTATTTAAATAAATGTGTATACAATTTTGTATCTTTATATATATAATTTTAGTTTTTATCAAAAATTATTAACATTGATATTATTATTTGAAATAACTTCATTTGCAGCTGTATGTAGATTAGTAAATTTACTGCTATAAATTGAATTATCAAAACTATCAATATCAAAGACTTTATATTCTATCACCATTTCATTATCAGATTTTAAAAATTCGGCCAAGATTTCAGCATCATTTTTCCAATTTAAAATAGCTTCATGAATTTCTGAAGATGTTGGTCGTTTTTCTGGATATTCATTCCAACACTTCCTTAAAAGTTCGGCATAACATGGCGCTGTCCCTTTAAGAATAGTCGGTCTTAATCCTTCACAAATTTCTATAGTCAGTCGTAAATCATCTTTTTCATATTCAGAAAATACAACAGATCCAGAAGAAATTTCCCACATAATCATTCCAAAAGAATAAATATCTGATGCTATGGAGAAAGTGCTTCCACGTAAAATTTCAGGAGCAATATATGGCAAAGCGCCATAAACACCTTTAGATTCTGAGTCTAGTGTCTTATTAATTGCAGTAGCAAAACCTAAATCACCAATATAAGCATTAAATAAATAATTTTGGAAAATATTTCCACTATGTAAATCGCAATGAATAAGATTATGCGAATGAATTAATTTAAGATCAAATATAATGTGTGTTAATAATTCTAATTTTTTCTCCCATTTCATTTGTGCAACTTTATGAAGATTTTGACGTAAAGACCCCATTTTTGCATACTGCATCACTAAAATATAATTTTTTGTGACTTCATCTTTCGATATTCCATAACATTGTAAAAATGTTGGACTCTTATTTCCAATATTTGAATAAGCTTCTAACTTTTTAAATTTATAAATATTTAAATTAATAACTAAATAATAATAGATACTAGTTTAGTATTGGTGTTATCAAATATTTACCTCTTTTACAAGCTCTTTACAGCTATTTTTTGATCCGCGAAATAATTTAACTGCAACAATATCTGTTTTTTCATACTTATCTACGTGAGTTGTGACCAAGTATTTCCGCCTAGCAGAATACACAGTTGCAAATCCACCCTTGCCGATTTTCTCTATAATTTTTAATTCATTAAATGGAATCCATGTCATTAAATTATTTTCATTCAATAATTTTTTTAGAAAATCATCAATATCTTGATTTTTATCGCAATCAATTTTTTGATATTTGTTACTTTTTGCTTTTTGTAGCCATTCAATAGCTTTTTCGTGGCTAGGTAATGTTCCATTACCATTTCGATAACGTATTCCAACTTCATATTGTCCATCAGGATTCCCACTTTCTGCTGATTTTAAATACCATTTGAACGCCTTTTTTTCATCCTTATTTGTGCCTGTGCCATACTCATAGCAGACTCCAAGACTGTATTGTCCATGTAAACTACCACTTTCAGCAGATTTCAAATACCACTCAAATGCCTTTTTTTCATACTTATCTGTGCCTATGCCATTGTCGTAGCAGATTCCAACATTATATTGTCCATTCGAATTGCCACCTTCAGCAGATTTCAAATACCACTCAAATGCCTTTT